CGACGACCACTACTACTACGACGACTACTACGACGACGGCTATTACTACGTCGTAGTAGGAATAGCAGCAGCAGCAGCTGCAGTAGCTGTAGCAGAACTATATTCCTACGCTGCCACTCTGGCTCCAGGCAAGGCATTCAGTCGTACTTGTTTTCGATGGGCATAGTGTTTGGATACCCTGACGCCCAAGAGGAGGAACCATTGCCGGGCCCCTGCAAGATGTTGCAACTCTGGACACTCTCCGGAGAGTTGGTGACGGGGATAGCTGTGGAGGAGCTAGAGACGCTAAGCGACGTGAGGGGCTTGAAGCAGCGCTTGAGCGAATTGCACGGTGTGGCTCCACGGTTTAGACAAAGGGTCCTTTTTCGCGGCGACTGTCTGGAAGATACGGCTCTGCTGCATTCAGCCACGGGGGACCTGCATCTCGTGATTTTGCCGTTCGCCGAGATGCTCCAATCGCAGGCTAACGACCTAGTAGCCGCCGCTGAGCGGGGCTCCATGGCGGAGGTTGAGGCCATGCTGCAGCTGCCCTCTGATCCAGACTTGCTTGATGTGAACGGCCGCAGAGCTTTGGCAAGGGCATCCGCCAATGGTCATGTCAAGCTGGTGCACTTGCTGCTGGAGGCTGGTGCTGACAAGGACGCCGCAGATAACGCGGGTCGCACAGCTTTGATAGAGTCATCTGACGAGGGTTATGTCGAGATTGTGCGCGTGCTCCTAGAAGATGGCGCCACCAAGGATCTCGCAAGAAACGACGGTTACACGGATTTGTTATGTGCAGCTGCCGCAGGTCATGTGGAGATTGTTGACTTGCTGCTGGAGGCTGGCGCGAACAAGGATCTGGCAGATAACACCGGCTGCACAGCTCTGATGCAGGCATCTGGAAAAGGGCATGCGAAGATCGTCCAGTTGTTGCTAGAGGCCAGGGCTGACAAGGATCTGGCAGACAATCGCGGTTACACAGCCTTGATGACGGCAGCCGACAAGGGTCTTGTCGATATCATCCGCTTGCTGCTCGCGGCCGGCGCGAACAGGGATCTGGCAGACGACAAAACCTACACAGCTTTGATGATTGCCTCCGGCAAGGGTCTCGTCGAGATCGTTCGCGCACTGCTTGAGGATGTTGCGAGCAAGGATCTGACAAGCAACGGCGGGCTCAAGGCTTTGCTATGTGCAATTGTCAAAGAAAAGGTCGAGGTTGTCTGCTTCATACTTGCGTCTGTTGCGTCTGGCACCGACAAGGGCAATGCTTTGATATTTGCAGTTCTTGTAGGTCGTGTCAAGATCGTCCGCTTGCTGCTGGAGGCCGGCGCGAACAAGGACTATAGCCCATCTGACAAAGACAGCGTCGCGGTCGCTCGCTTCCTCGTTGAGGCTCGTGCTAACAAGGATCTGGCAAGCAAAGGCGGACTCACGGCATTGATGTGTGCAGTTGCTGCAAGTAATGTCGAGGTTGTTCGCTTGCTGCTGGAGGCTGGCGCGAACAAGGATCTGGCAGATAACGTCGGCTGCACAGCTCTGATGCAGGCATCTGGAAAAGGGCATGTGAAGATCGTCCAGTTGTTGCTAGAGGCCAGGGCTGACAAGGATCTGGCAGACAATCGCGGTTACACAGCCTTGACGACGGCAGCCGACAAGGGTCTTGTCGACATCGTCCGCTTGCTGCTTGCGGCCGGCACGAACAGGGATCTGGCAGACAACCGCGGCAACACAGCTTTGATGATGGCCTCTGAAAAGGGTCTCGTTGAGATTGCTTGCTTGCTACTTGAGGATGCTGCCAGCAAGAATCTAGCAAACAACGACGGGTACACGGCTTTGATGTTTGCAGTTGTTGCAGGTCATGTTGAGATTGTCTGGTTGCTGCTTGAGGCGGGTGCCAACAAGGATCTAGCAGACGACAGTGGGTGCACAGCTTTGACATGTGCAGTTGTCGCAAGTCATGTCAAGTTCGTCCGTTTGATGCTCTTGTTCGGTGCAAGCACGGATCTGGCTGACAACTTCGGCCGCACAGTTCTGATGCGGGCATCTGGCCAAGGGCAATTTGAGATCGTCCGCATGTTGATGGAGGTCCGCGCCAACACGGATCTGGCGGACAACCTCGGCCGCACGGCTTTGATGGTGGCATCCAGCAGTGGTCACGTCCGCATCGTCCAGCTGCTGCTGGAGGCTGGCGCGAACCAGGACCTGACAGACGGCAGCGACCGCACAGCTTTGATAGAAGCATCCGACCAGGGCCATGCTGACATCGTCCACTTGCTGCTGGCGGCCGGCGCCAATAAGGATCTATCAGACTTTTTCGGGGACACAGCTTTGATTGCAGCATCCGCATCTGGTCATGCGAAAGTCGTCCGCTTGCTGCTGGGTGCAGGAGCAAACAAGGATCTGGCAGACAACGTCGGCTGGACGGCTTTGATGAAAGCGTCTGCAAACGGTCAAGTCGATATCGTCCGCTTGCTGCTGACGGCTGTCGTGAATAAGGATGTGGTAGACACACATGGGAACACAGCTTTGACGAGTGCATCCGGGCGACGTCGTGTCGAGATCGTCGGCTTGTTAATTGAGAGTCATGGATCTGGCAAACAAGGGCGGTTGCATGGCTTCGGCGGCCGGTGCAGCTCGTTCTGAAGTGGTGTGGTTGCTTCTGGAGGCCGACGTCAACCAAGGATTTGGGACACCAGAAGGTCTGATGGGGCATCCAACAAGGTCCCGTCGATATCGTTCGATTGCTGCATGAAAGTGTTCCATTTGCACGAGACTGAAGACATCGGTTTCATGAACAAACATGTAACGAACAACAAAAACATAACCCAGTTGTGGTGAGCCACTCGCGAGACAAGCAACACATGCCGCGTTTACCCCAAACCCTAAACTCCAAATGTAGAAGCCTAGATAATTGCCTGTACTATTTTTGGGGCTGCTTATTGAAACTTTAGTATAATAGACACCAAAACCCTATTCTAATGATTAAGGCCTCTACCTTAGACCCCTCAACCCTACCTTAAGAACCCAAAACCTACTTTTTTGTAGGGTCCCTATAAATCCCATATTAGGATTATTAGGGTTTTATTATAAGAACCTACCAAAAAAGTTGGTTTTAAGTTCTTAAGGTACACCCGATGCTCCTGAGACGGCCTCGCCAGGGCGCTCCGGCTCCTGCGCCGCGGCCTGCGCCACCGGCGCCTGCAGAAGTGGTCGCAGCTGGACGGCTTTGAGGGTTTAGGTTATAGGGTTTAGGGTTTAGGATTTAGGGTTTAGGGTTTAGGGTTTAGGGTAGGTTATAGGGTTTAGGTTATACCTGGACCCTAAAGAACCTACCTTTTTAGGGTTCCTTATTATGATTTCTTTATATAAGTCCTTAAAAAGGTAGGTTATTTTGGGGGCTAAGGTAGGGTTTAGGGTTTAGGTTTCAGGGTCCCATCTGCAATAGTCTGGACGTGCTGCTTCCCAGCTGATTGGCAGAGTCTGGGTTCAAAAAAAGTTTTCAGGGTCTACCTTGACCCCAAATAACCTAGTTGTGGAAGGGTCTCTACATCAGGAGATCATACTAAGGAGCCCTGCAAAGGTAGGAGCTCGAGGGTCTATAGGGTTTCACATCAGAGCAGGGCATGCTATGCTTGCTCTGTACTCAGGACCCCATGACGGAGGCATAGGTTTAGGATTTAGGATATAAAGGTTAAAGGGGTTTAGGAGATTTAGGATAAAGGGTGAGTTTATGATTTCGAAGAGCCTCCCACAGTGTAAACTGGCAGCACAGCAAGCAATGCAGGACGGAAGGCGCCAGAGAGAGAAAGAGAGACGGACACAAAGAAACGGAGGGGAAAGAGAAGGCGTTCAAGATGAATTCCCCGATCCCGATCGTTGAGGTACAACAGATATAGTATATAAGATGATATACGCCAATATAAATTGTTCGGGAGGGCCATGTTCCTCAATCGCATGTTCGTCGCCGTTCAGAATTTCATGTCCGCGGCGCAAACCATCCGTGTCCGTAGACTTCGAAACCCTCAAAGCCTTACATGCTGACTCATGAATCCGCCTACAGTCCCGAGCCCTACCCACTTAATCCTGAACCTGCGGCCACATGAGAACGCCCGGAACTTGCAAGATCGAGGCCGTCCCGACTCCTGCGCAGCGACCGTCACCGGCACCGGCGAAAGTGATCGCAGCTGAACTGCAAGCAGACGTTGCAGAGAAAAGTACCCTAACCCTCCAGGTACCTACTATATAGGGCCTTATATAGGGGCTCTAGTACCCTATATAGTAGGTACCTGGGGGGGTTAGGGTATTTTGAGGTGCGGAACCCTGTGATCCCGCTGCACGACTGGGTCTTAAGGTATAGGAGGAGGTCACAAAACTGCATGGGGTAGGGTGCCCAGAGACTCCAATACCCCCTAATTATGGAATACCTTAAGAACCCAAAACCTACTTTTTTGTAGGTGCTTATTATAAACCTTAATATGGGATTTATAAGGACCCTACAAAAAAGTAGGTTTTGGGTTCTTAAGGTATACCTTAAATTATAGTAGGATCCCTAATATGATTTAAGGTATATTCCGTAGTTCAGGGGTATTGGAGTCTCTGGGTGTATGTATGTGGTGAAGAGAAGCCACTGAGCTAGGGTGGCGTGGAGGGAGCTTTTGCAGAACCTCAAGAATGTATTGGCAAATTGTGGTCCCGATTCCATGTGGCCATGCTGGAGGATTCAGAAGATTCGGGGGCTACAGTCTCCAAGCCACCAGACTTTCTAACCAAATCTTCCTGGCGCTTTGGATCCTAAACTGGCAATCCCAAAGCCAACCCTAAATGAAGGGCAGAAGGAGACTCGAGTCAGAGAGGGACGAACCAAACGACTGGATATGAAATCCCGTATCTCAATCATCGAGCTACTGGCATCAGTTGTTGGTGCGCGTCATTCTTGGGATGTCTGCGGCTTTTTGTTTCCTTTTAAATGCGGCAAAGCGTGAGCCGTAAAGTTCTGAAGCCTGAAGCCATAAACGCCAGGCCTGGCAAAGCTTGAACCGTAAACCGCAAATAAACCCTAATCCCCTAAACCCTAAACCCTAAACCCTACACCCTATACATAACCCCTAAACCTTAGAGAGTGGAACGCCCTCGGGGCCCCATATTTACAGTGACATCGCAAAACCTTTTGTGTGGAGAAACAGGGCCCCCAAAGCGTACCTTTCTGAAACCTTATAACCCCTAAACCCGTAAGCCCTAAAACCCTAAACCCTAGATAAACCCTAAGCCCCAAACCCTAAACCCTACATAAACCCTAAACCCCAAACCCTAAACCCTAAACCCACCGAAGCTCACAAGATCGAGGCCCTCCCGGCTCCTGTGCCACGACCGGCACCGGCACCGGCGAAAGTGATCGCAGCTGGACCGCACGCAGACCTTGCAGAGCAAAGGGTTTGGGATTTGGGGGTGGATTTAGGGGTTAGGGTTTAGGGCTTCGGGGTTAGAGTTTAGGAGTTTAGGGTCTTAAGGTTTGGGGTTTAGCTGAAGACCGGACTCAAGCAACAGGTTTGGCGGTTCAGGGTCCGAAGCACCAGAGCCTAAGTAAGCCTTGAACCGGGCAGAAACATATGTTGCCTCTTTGAGGATCTTTGAGGCAATGTTGGGTCTGAGTAGCTAGTAAGGTTATTACCAGATAATCCATGCATACTTATCCGATGATGTACTCTCGAACCCTGTTTCGAATATGACAAGAGAGTTGGTCTGCTATATAAACGGCATCTGACACTAGTATGCGGATTGATTTTTCAAACTCCATCGACTGGGGTAGTGAACAGGCTTCACTCGAATGTCTGCGTAAAGCAAGATTTTGAAGGCCCAAATTGAATCAACCCACTAAGCTCCGAACCCTTTGCCAGTGTGCAAGTCGAAAATTAAAAGCACCCTATGGGGAGGCTCCCATCGGGTCGATCATCTTTGGCGGCCCCCAGGCACTGCAGATTGAGGGTTGGTTGCTTTACGCAGACAGTTTAAGGGTGCAGGGATTCGGCTTGAATTTATTTGGCGGCGCAGGGTTTGGGGTTCAGGGGTTGTCCCGTTCCTTGGCTCCTTGGGAGCCAATATCCCATACTTACGGGACCGAGCTTGTCCAACACTTTCCTGCAGTTTATTGAAAGTTTCTGCGGGTATACATGCATCCGGGTGTCCCCATGTGCAAACCTATGTATGCAAACCCGGCCCGTTTTGTAGCCCCCATGTTTATGGAATCTATGCCTGTTATATGTGTACACACACACTTACATACATAGGCAGTGTCTCTCTCTCTCTCTCTCTGTATACAAAAACTATGTATGTATGTATGTATGTATGTATGTATGTATGTATGTATGTATGAATGTACGTATGTATCTATATATATATATATATATACACACCTTTCTCTATACATGTAGAGAGATATCGAGATTTCTGGCTGTACATCTTTGCGCGCGGTCACATGCTTGCAAACCGGGTTTGGCTTTGTTTCGGACTTCTGGACTGCGAGGCGTTTGTATCCATGTCAATAAGTCTAAACTGCTCCTACTCTCGTAATGCGCGCCCCATTAGAGCGGATCGTTTGAAACGCACGCAGCCCAGTATCCATAAACCAAGAAGAAGATAGTCAGATTGGGATTGTTGCAATTTGAGGTATATTGCGGAATGAAGGGGCGGTACGCTCCGTGGGTATTCCTCACAGTATTTTCTTGATTTGCGACCGCAACTCGTCTAGTCCAGAGCCATCTGAACCCAAAGCATCGGATCCTGCACCTTAAAATTTCCAACCAGCAACCAAGGGCTAAAGTCTAGAGGTTTGGGGTAAAGCCTATGAACCTTAAGCCCTGGCTATCGAGAAGAGTATCAAAAAACCCTAAACCATAAACCCCTAAACCCCTAAACCCTAAACCTTTGGAGATAGGGACGAACCCAAGGCTGTAGCCTGTGACCTGGCCCTGCGCAGGCAATGCCGCCGCAAGGCTTGGGCCACAGCCGCGCGGACAACACTGAAACGTCTTGCGCTTGTGTAAAAGAAGGGCCTTAATAATTAGAAGAGGGTTTGGGGTATACAATATTTATATATATATATATATACACACACACTATAAATATAATAAGGAACCCCCAAAACCCTATTCTAATCATTAAGGCCCCTCCATTACGGAAGTTTAGGGTGTAACAAAAGACGGAACTCTAAATCCTTCGCGCCCTTAGGCTTCGACTAAAAATGAGACCCGTCCCCGTGGTTCAGAACCTTCTACTCTTAGGGGCAATCGCACCAGGATCGGATTATGGCCCTTGCGAAAGGAGCAGGTTTGTAGACATTGGTCTACATCACGCGAGTGAGGGTAGTTGATGCGACTAGTCGCAGGAGCAGCATCACAATACACCAAGTTACCAGAAGAAGAACAGCAGTGCTGTGGCCTTGCTGAGCCTTGCTACTCCTTCTTCAGGGGTTTGAGCTGAGGGTTGGAGATACGGTCAAGGTCGGTTGGCTATGGATTCTAGCGTCTCGGCTGCGGTCGTCGGAACGGAACTCTATATGATCCCGTACAGGAATCCTAGAGGAAAGCTTGGAGGCTCGGTCCTGAACGCTGAAGCCTCAATTTTAAACCCTAAACGAGTGCCCAGGCAAGTCCAACTCGACCGCGTCGGAACCCTTCGACTGCCACAAGGGCCACCCTTCAGCAAGTAGTGGGCGCCGGGTGTAGGGGACTGAGTACCAAAGACGACTCTGGGAGAGGTTGTTCTGAAACCTGCTAGAAGGCCACTCTTGTGGGATATGGACGCTTAGGCCCTGCAAAACAACAGAGTCCCAAGACCCGGAAAGGAACCTTCAACCCTAAACCCCAAACCCTTAGCCTTAAAGTACTGCCGGGAACTAAACTACGATGCAGGCCAAAAGGTGTACATCCACGTCAGCTAGGCGGGTGGGAACAAAGCCCCTAAAGTACAAGCCGAATTCCGGTGCCCTCTCATGAGACCGCCAATCCTTGTCCGGAGTGCCAGCCTGCTTTCGCCTCTCGCTTGCTGAAGCTGCTTTTCCGTTTGACAAGCACGGCCGGACCGAGAAGATCAAGACCGACACCGAGAAGAAATGCGTGAAGATCACCGAGGAGCAACCCTGGCAAAAAGGTCGCAAAGGGACACGGCCCTGGACCTCGCGCACGCGGCCCAAGCCAGGCCATCTTGATGGCCGGACATAGAAAGAAGAGCTGAGGCGCTTCGGCTTTAGGGAACCTTGATTTAAAGGAGCCCTTAACCCTTAGAAGAACCTCCAAACAGCCTCGGCCTCGACATTCCTCAAAATTTGAGAACTGAAGCATCACCTCCCCAAGTTTCACGCGCGAAGCTCTGAGTCCCAAAGCTAGACGCCACAGCCCAGGTCCCATAGCGTCTAAAGGGAGTCGTTAAGGCTGTATGGGGTTTAGGATGCTCTAAAACCAAAGCCCTGTAAGTCGAACTTCCTGGCGTATGTTTACGATGACCGGACCACCTCTGCAGTTAGAGGATCCCCAGTGTCGATCAATTAGGGCGTTTCCCTGCACCTCCCCCGGCCGCTGCTGCTTCTGCTGCTGCTGCTGCCAAAACAAAAGCTGCTACGACTAGAAGTAATGATAGTAGTAGTAGCAGTAGTAGTAGTACTACTACTCCACCACCACCACCACGACGACGACGACTACTACTACTATTCCTACAGCGAAGGGGCATTACAGAACCGCTTTTGTTAAACGGCTGTCTTGTCATGTTGATCGTTTTGGTCACTCAGGGGGGCTTGGGGACGCACCAGTTTTGGTAGTTTTTGTTGAGGGGCGGGGGGCCAGAGTCACAAGTCATTTTAGTCATTTTGGTCCGACCGAAATTACCCAAATGACTCGTCACTTTGCCCCCCCCCTGCGGACCATGGTGCAAGCACACTCCAATACTACTACTACCACTACCACTACCACTACCACTACTACGACTACTACTCTGTCTAGCAATCCTTGATGGCTCCAAGTAGCTTAACGATCGGCTTCAAGTCATGTCTTCTGTATCCATGTAACCAACGATGCAGGCTGCTCGTGCGCTTCCCACAAAGCAGCCGTGATGGCTACCACTGAATAACCCCCTACAGAGTACTACCGTTTTCTTTGGCTTACACGTACGTAAAGCATGTAACCATATTCC